ATAGTAGTTCAAGCATCTGTTACACACGTTTGTCACTAACACATTGCAAGCACAGATCCAATGTACTACAGCTTATTATTCTAACAACTCTTTTGATTACCATCACAAACTTTAAAAAAAAAAAAAAAAAAAGCAAGCTTGTTTTGAAAGTGAGAAGTAAGTCACTATTCCAGTAGAGTGTATCTCTAAATCAAATGCTGGGATTGGTTTTCTGGAGTACATTACATGGTGCTGTCCAGGGAACTGGTTTTGGAAACACTACACCTGCCAGCTGACTTACTAACAGTGTCCATAGAATTGACACCAATTAAAAAGCAAAAATCAGTTTAGAAAACAGTAATAATACACCTCTACTGCCATCTATGGTTTGAACAGATGATGAACAGCTTCTCTGCTGTAAACAAATTTAAGGATTCAGAGTTTGCAATTAGAATACAAAGATACCATTTTTTTAGTATGCAAAGATATCACTTTCGAAGAAACTTTTCAAAGTTAATTTGTAATACAACAAAATCATAGCATTTACTTATATGAAATTTAAAAATTCATAATTTCTTAATCTGGAACTATATAATGATACAGAAAAACCACAAACTACCTACCTTGAATAAAAATGTTTCCATTGCACAAAGGCTAACTTTTGAACATCTTAAAACCTGTATTTTTAAGGAAATCAGGGAGTTTTTCCAGCTTGTTTTCCAACATGATAAAAGTTTAAAATCCAATTATTCCCGTAATTTAAGAACAAAAGTTCAAGAATGCAAACGAAGCTCAAAGTATTCTATATTCCCAACTTATTTTCTCTCAATTTGCTTTTTCAAATGACAACCATGCTAGCATGGGGATCAAAGGATTCTGTGCAGCTGGGGGTGGGGAAAAGCGCAATTCAGATCCCCAGCAGCCAGTTGAGGCAATCCTTGTCCTTCCTGAAGCTAAATCACTGTTAATTAGAGTTGCTGAGTACTCTTAAAAAAAAAAAAAAAGGCTGATTAAAATAATTTAAATTGTAACTCACAGGAAAACTAATCTGTTCTCTTCAGAAATGACTCTTGAAAGAATGCTGTTTAACAGGCCATAAGACCAGAATAAAATATTTCATTTAAACAAATTATGCCTACTTGTTTCTAAACAATGGCTATCTCACAAAGTTACAGGTTTGGGTAAAGTTTTTTCTTAATTTCCCGTAACTTACAGTCTAACACAATGAACTATGCTGTAAACACTGGAAAACAGAAAGACTGGGGTTGATTTTTAGGAATATTGTACAGCAAAGTTACATCCAGAGATATTTCTAAAATATACAACTAAGATAAAGATGAATCCAAAAATTCAGCTACAAAAACCTCAATATCCAAAACAGAATTCTCTGGCTCAGTCAGTACTAAGCCACCTTACAAATTTAATAATCTCAGGATCTCTGATTCTCATTTATCAAACAGAGATGTCCACAAATGTTCAAGGGATTACCTAAACCAGGAAAACATTTAGTAAGAAAATTTTTTTTTGTTTTTAATTTGTAAGTTGACCTCAAGAATACAAAAGTTTGAAAGCACTTTCCTTCACAATTTATCTGTTTGGAAAAGTGTTCAGGGTATTACAAAGAATTGGTTATGTTATTCCACTACCCACATGGGCACATTAGAAAGCTATTTACTGTTTAAAACTGCTTCCTTGAAATGGAAGCCTGTTTATCTATAGACAGAGCCTTCTCTGATTCTGATCTCTTTTCGTAAATACGACAACTATAATATGGTTTTCACACACAAAATAAATCATTTTCTTCTTCTGTTTAAGAGATATTTTACCACTGTCCTAAAGTTATGTGTTTTAACCTAGAATTTCTACCTTGACCACACAATGCCAGGGAGAAAAGGGAAATGAGAAATCAAGAAATATTAATATGTATGAGTCCAGTTTTGAAAATCTGCATTTCTTTTCATTAGCTTCCCTTATAACACCTTTTCATGTACTTGTGCAAGCATATAACTTCTGCTACAAAAGGTAGAATAAATTTCATATTAGACATGTTATACTTAAACTCTAAGAATAAAGAGTGCTGAGCATTCAGTGAACAGTACATCAGAGATGAGAAATTTGGTTACTTAACATCTCAGATTTCTCCTTAAGAAAACTAGAACATTCTCGGTTGATTCAGAATTAAGTTTTCAAATCACAGAAGTAAAAAGTTAAATATGTGATGTAAAGTACTTGGTAATTTAAGAAGTAAGCATTTTAAGCCAGGTTTGGTGGCACACCTTTTCTGTCCCAACCCTGGGGAGGTAGATCTCTATGAATTCAAGGTTACCCTGATCTACAAATTAAGAGTTCCAGGACAGCCAGGCTACACAGAGAAGCACTGTTAAGCATTTTGTTGGCTAAAGTCATATGGAGGAGCATCCACAAGTACTTAGTGAGCTCATTTCCTCTGAAGGGTAATAATGTGAAATTATGCTCTTAATTCCTTATAATGGCTTATAGTCTCTTTGCTTTAAATATTTAAAAAATCTATTCCCTCACTCTCTTGAAAATAAAATGAACAAATGTTCCCTCAAAGCATTCATCTCCCTTTGAAATCCCAAAAGGGAGCAATCACTATTACAACTAAATGAGTTTGTTTGTTATGAAAACCACAAGCCAACAGCTGAATATAGCAGAGTCAGCACAAGGGATTCCGGGAAGGGTGAGGGTGCATCAAAAGGCTAACTACTGTTCTAATGGAATCATAAAAACATCTCGAGAACTGTAAATTCAGCATCAATGGATTTCTTAACACAAACTAAAGACCTCCTCTCTAGATAACAACTTCAGGAAAAATGGAAATGTCACCAGGATGAAAAGTTAAAGGAGTGCTTTTCTCCTCAGAAATCAATCTCATTTATCTTTGGAGAAAAATAGTAAGGAAGAAAAATAAAGTCCACTATTCCAAAGGCAAACTTTATTTTATATTTTGAAAATTCTCCTGAGCATTTGAGTACTCGCTAACATAAGCTGTAAAACACTACAAACACAATACTAATTTTTGTACTGAAAAGCAAGCTACACTACAAAAATTTCCTATTTCCCTTTGAACCAATTAAGCTGCGAAATGTTCCATCATATTTTCAACAAAATATTAAAGACACTTTTAGCTTAACATACTGTTTAAGTTTCTTTTAAGTGGTTCTGATCAGTTAAGGAAAAGATGAGTATTAACAAGTAATCTGATTGAGATAAAAATTGCCACTCAGTTCTTTTAATGTTCCAATGAATAATTAATTAAAAAACTGCTTTGTTCTATGGCTTCCCTTACAATAATATTCTCAAGTGAACTGAAAGTGGTGGTTGCAATAAAATCTGTCATCTAATAGTAAGGACAGGTGGGAACAGGAACTATTTGCAAACAGGAAGGCATTTCGAAAATACACTAACAGGGATATCTGACAGATCTGGAGACTGAGCTTAAAAACCGGCAAGGCAAATTTTAGGTTAAATATAAATATATATATATATATATATATATATATATATATATATGAAACAATCACAGGTTAATACCAAACCAAATCTTTGCATAAGTTAACTTTTAAAAACGTCAAAAACATAAAAGAAATCATCTTTGTTCTTCTAGGCACTGTCCCTTTCTACCCTAACTATATTTATTCCTTCCCCTTTGTGACGTGGGATTTTATTGATCCCAAACATTCAGAATCAGTCCCCCACCGGATATCGGGATATCCCACACATCATACACATCTTTAAAACTTAAGAGCTTTGAAAACATCATCATATCAAATTAACCAGGCTTTCTTCTAAACAGTTTTCCTCTTAGCTGATTAAAAAAAGAAACTAACAATCTACTGAATTAACAATATTTCATGAATTAGTAAACTTATGAAGAAACAAATTCAACTCAATATTTCTTTCCTGTGGCTCTCCATTCATTCATTCCACAACCAAATGCCTCGGTGACCTACTTTCGAGTTACTTTCCCCACACCTGCCAGGTCAGTCCTGATTTGAAAAACTTCGTACTAAAGCAATTAATTTTTAGGGCCTCCTAACTGTCCCCGGTGTTTGCATGCAATCTGAAATCTGTTACTTGTTAGACACTGTTCGGTCCTAGATCTTCCAGAGAATTGCACGTTTATGGCGCAGAGAGGGGAGGAGGCACGGATCTCTGAGAGCCTGCCCTTTACTCGGAAATGAGATGTGAGAGGTGCAAGGCAGGGCAAATAAATAAATAAATCGGGTTTGCCGCGGGAGCGTTTGCCTGCCGTAAGGAGCACCCTTTGTAATGCAGGCCTCCAGGGGCTATCGCCTTCGCTAATTGCTCCAGGACGCTTTCCAAGTTCAAAAGTTCACCTTTTACGACCTCACAAAAGCTCCTTACACGTTACCAATAAAAACATTCCGCCACAAACACCGAAGGGGAAAATATCAAACAGAAACAAATAAAACACTGGGGGGTGGGGGGGGGAGCCAACCCGGAGGAACCTGAGGACAGGGTAGGGACAAGGGGCCAGGTGAGGAATTCTCTGCACCCTGAAGGAAAGCGTCTGCGAAACGCCGAGAAAAGGCAGGTGTACCTCGAGCCCCGGCAATCCGCTGGAGACGAGCCAGCATAAAGTCGTAGCCTAGGAGAGGGGGCCTGTACAAAAAGGAAGCCAGGGGACAGGAGTGGGCACCGAGGTCCGAGGAGGGTCTGCGTAGAGGCGGAGGCTCGCGGAGTTTTCCTGAGGAAAACGCCCCAGGATAGGTGCAGGGTGCCAAGGTGTGGCATCTGCTAGACCCCAGGTAAAGGAACGTGGTGCTCCAAACACCAGGGCCCCCTAGGGGAGGAGCAAGGACTGGCGTGGAGGGGGTGGGGGGTAGGGTCCGCGCTGAGGGGACTTTGCGTAGAGTGCCAGCTCGGGGTGGAGTCCACACTGAGGGGCGGCCCGGAGTCCCGGAACCAGAGTAGGCTGAGGGAAAGGGGGATCGCAGGCGTCGGTACCGCTGGGGCTCCGAAGGCCCTTCACCCACCGTTGCGCGGCGGCGGAGGGAGCGCGGCGGGCGGCTCCAGGAACCCCGCCGAGCCCCCGCCGCCTCCCCCTCCGCTAAGCGGTCGTTCGTCCCGCTCCAGCTCCATGCGGCGGCGCTCAGGGCCCCCGCAGGCTTCGCTGCTCCTCCATGACTCGCGCCCTCGTAGTCGTCCTCGTCGTCGTCCACCGGGGCGACGGGGCTGTCAGGGGCCGGCGGGCTCCCGGCCGCCGCGCGCTTTGGGCCCGCGAGCCTCCCGGCTCCGCGCCCCTCCGCGCCGCGCCCCCTCAGCACTGGCCAGCTCCCTCCTCCGACGTCACGCGCTGGTGCCACGTAAGTACCCGCGGGGCGTGCTAGGAATTGTAGTCCTCCAGGGCGAGGCTGGCCACACGGGACGCTACCAATTGAAGGGGTGTGAGAAAGAAAACAAAAACATATCATTATTCCGAACTCTATTAGAACCTCTGATATGTATATTATATATATAATGTATATATAGAGAATAATGGTTACGTCATGATCCTCTCTGTTGTAACTTTTCCGTATCCAGAGTTCCCTGTAATTCCGACTTCCCGCGCCAATAATGAGTCTTTCCAAGGAGGCGGATCCACCAGGAGCCCGGAGAGCACGTGCAACCAAGCCCAGCCCTGTTGGGAAGGCCCCAAGGGGCGGGGTGCGTGTTGCTCGTGAGGGTTTTCCTCTGGGGCCGCGCGACAAATTGGACCAGAGATTAAAGGACCCGAGTTTACCCCGAGGTGACTGAGTTCGTATGCAAATGGAATCTATACAACTCTGCTTTCCGGAGAAGTGTTTAAAGCCTTTTACCTCCGGGTGAGCGGAAAGGAATAAAGTTTCTCTTCCTTCTCTTTCATTTTCCGTACCCTGCCCATAGAACAGATGGGCAAACTAAGATCAGGGCCATTGATTCCATCAAAGAAATTTTGAAACTCTTGACTACGGGTGTCCTAAAGAGCTGTTTTAAAAGTCTGCCCTTTTCCCGCCTGTTCTTTCTATCCTTGCTCAGTCTGAAAAATGGGAGTTGTAACAAGAACCGCGTCCAATGGTAAGATGCCAACACACACACACACACACACACACACACACATCGCCTCTGTTTCTACCAAACAAAATGCAGGATTTTTCACACACACACACACACACACACACACACACACACACACACACACACAAAGTCTCCCCTTTTCCTGCCTGTTCTTCCCATCCTTGCTCAGTCTAAAAAATGGGAGTTGTAACAAGAACCGCGTCCAATGGTAAGATGCCAACACACACACACACACACACACACACACACACCTCACACACCGCCTCTGTTTCTACCAAACAAAATCAGGGAGAACCCCTGCCTCCACCAGGGCGCACCTCTGGCGGCCACAGGGTGGCGTGCGGCCACGAAACTAAAGACCAGCTGTGGTGGCTGTTTTTTCAGTGTCCTCCCCTCTTTAGGAAAACACTATTGTAGTAGGTTACTGCTCAGGGCATAAGTGCTATGTATCCCACTAGAAGACAAAGAACCCTAGTGCTTTGCTTGTTTGTCCTGTGCCTCATTCTGCCCCACCTCATTCTGCCCCACCTGCCTCGGCAGTCCTTTGGTTCCTGTGTGTCATTCCTTACTTATTGTTTAAAAGTCTTTATCCTGGCATATGCAATCTAGCCTGTTCTGATTCCTTCCCACATTGCTCTCCAGCCCTCTCCCCTCATCTACTATTCAGGAAACTTTGCCAAGCCTTCCTGCATTTTCCAATAGCTGTCCATTACCAAATTAGTGAACCTGTATGTCATCCTTAATCTATGATAAATATATATCTCATATATATATATATGAGAAATTTATACTAATTGTGTGTAATCCAAACCTCCCACCCCTATCCAACAAGGTACTCCCACACCTATTCAACGAGGTATCTCAGATATTGTTGCTCTCACATGCAAATGAAATGGTGATTACCATTATGAACTCCGTGGGATCAGAAAACTGAAATGCCTCCTGGGCAACAGTGGCCTTTAATCTCAGCACTGAAAAGGCAGAGGCAGGCTGATCTCTGTGAGTTTTGAGACCAGCCTGGTCTACAGAGCTAGTTCCAGGACAGCCAAAGCTACACAAAGAAACCCTTACCCCACTCCACCCCAAAAGAAGAAAAAGAAAGCTGCAATGCCCTTGGCCTGACCACTGTAAACTCACCTTTTTAGATCCTGTTCCAATTCTTCAGTAGCACCTTCCTTAATACCTTTGGTCAAGGGCTTGCTAGGGCCCGGCGTGTTCCCACATGCCTTATCTATCTAGGTGGCATGTAAGAAATGGTCTTGATGCCACCGGTCTTGCAGGGGTGGCACAAGACTTTAATCCCAGCACTGGGGAGGCAGAGGCAGCCTGATCTACAGAGTGAGTTCCAGGACAGGCTCCAAAGCTACACAGAGAAACTCCCTCTCAGAGAGAGAGGGGGAAAAAAGAAAGAAATGGTCTTGAAGTGGTTACTTCCATGCCACTGTTTCTGAGCTCCTCAAGGTCAAGGAGCTGTACTCTGTTAGCAAGCCCCTGCAACAGGAGAGTCCTTCTTGTTGTAGGAAAGGAATTCTTCAGCTCTGCTTTTTAAAATGTGACAGGATCCCATGATCTTCCCAGAGCCAGAATTTCATTCTATCACAGGATCCTTCCCTGGAATGTTCTTCTTCCCTGGAATGCCAAGTGGCCCTGCAGGATTGACTGGTAGATGAAGGCTAAGTCAAACCAAAGATGAGTTTAAACACATGCTCAGCTCCTTTTCGGCTCCATGCTTCCTCCTTCCCAGATATCCTTGCCAACCAATTCGTTTACTCTCTTGCCATTATTTCCTCTGCTACTGAGCAACATGCAGTAGATACTCACTAAATAGGCATCCACTAAGAGCCCAGCACCCACACTGGACCGGGTCTTTTGTTGTGTTGTGTTTTGACATTTTCCCCACAACCCTGAAAAGTGAGTGCCCTTTGCTGAGTGTGCAGGTGAGGAGACAGGTTCCAAAAACAGATTTAAAGGACTGAGCATTTACAGGGAAGACAGAAATGGAAAGGAATATCTCTAGGGACGAGAGTGAATCTGTAGGAGACCCATCCTGAGGAGACCAGAGGCAGGCAGGACTACAGCTACAAACAAGCAAAATGTGGGCCTCATCATGGAGTCCTTACTCCATGATTCATGGTAACAGAGATGACTGTAGGAGGATGCCAGAAGTTGTCCAGAAGGGGACAGAGTTCATCTGGTGGTCTGTCTCATCCTTTCTCTAGCAGGATGTCTTAAAGAGACAACCAGCCTGCCTGTATCCATGAGAACCATAGGAAAGAAAATTCCTGCCCTGTTAGATTTGTTTTAAGTATACATTATCGCCCCGGTAGTGGTGACACATGCCAGCACTTGGGAGGCAGAGGCAGGCAAATCTCTGTGAGTTCCAGGACAGCCAGGGTTACACAGAGAAACCCTGTCTGGAAAAATAAGTATACTTTGTCTATATTTTGAAAACATAGGAGGAATGTTGCAAAACTCACAATTAAAAAAAGTGCAAGGGGGGGTGGGTTAGCTAGAGAGATGGCTCAGAGGTTAAGAGCACTGGCTGCTCTACCAGAGTTTAACATGTGACAGTTTAACAAGTCAGCTGAGAGTCATACAGTAGTAATTAGAGGTCAGGCTCAGAGGTTCTCTAACTCTAGAGCCCCTGAGGACTCCTGAGAACTAAGTTGCTGAACCCCCACATCCTGGTGAATGTCTTCTGCAGTAACTGGGCTAAAGCCTGAGCATTTGTTTTGCTAACAAGTTCCCTAGTGATGCTGAGGCTGTTAGCTGGGGGAACACAGGCTGAGAGCCACTGAGAGCATGGGGAGGCAAAGCAGGAGTGCACTGGCAACCTATTTCCCTCCAGCAGGGAGCTGCAAACAAGTGCTGGGGGAAGTGCTTGAGAGCAGAAGTGAGGAGCAAATGCTTTTGGCAGCATTTAGGGCACAAGTCAGTGTTCCTTGCTTGTGCAATGGAGGCTCAGTAAGCCAGTAAATGTACAAGTGATCAGAAGAGGGGTCACCTACAGAGTGTAGAAGAGAAAGGGAGTCCAGTCTTTGGAGTGTGCAGGGAGTTGGAAGGGCAGGCAAGAAAGTCTGGGAAGGACCCCCTGTTGAACTAAAAAGGGGAACCTGAGGTGGGAGGCAGTTTAAAAGAGTGTGACCCAGAACTTAGGCTGAGGAAATGAATGACTGACTCAGCAGTCCTTGCTCTGAAACATAAGAACCTGAATCAGGATCGCCCAGCATCTGCATAAAAGGTGGTGTGTGTATAACAGGCAGAAAGAGGAGAGGGAGAAAGACGGTTCCTGGCCAACCAGTGTAGCCAAAAGAAAGCGCTCCAGGTTCGGTGAGAGACTCTGTCGTTCCCCCATCCTCGCCCCCCAATAAGAAACAATAGAGGAAGAAGACATCCTGACCTTCGACCCCTGCAACAAGCAATCGTTGCCTGGAAATTAAGGAATCAGACGCTCAGCTGAGCATGGAAAGGAGAGGGCTGCTAAAAAGTAGTAGTTATTGGCACAACACAGAGAGAAAATGGAAGATATAAAAGAGCAGGGGCTGAGCCTTGAATAGACTAGAACCGGGAGAGATGGCTTTGTCAGAGCAAGGGGTGAGCTGGAAGTCCCACTCACTCGAACTTTGTAACCATTCCAAAAAGACTATTTGACTATTTTTATTTTCTTCGGGTTTTTTCGTTTTGTCTTGTTTTTGAGACATGGTTTCTCTGTGTGCCCCTGGATGTCCTGAAACTCAAAGATCCTCCTGACTTTACCTCCAGAGTGTTGGGATTAAAGCCATGTGCTGCCACCACCTGGCTATTTTCTCCCTTGTATCGGTGAGGAAACTGGGACTCAAAAAGGCAAAGAAAGGGACACGTCCAAGGTTCTTAGGTTCTTCATTTCACAAAACGGGACTTTGGTCCCTTTAGAGCCTTCTCTTGAGCCTTCTCTTACTACCTGGCTGTACTGTATCTCTCTCTCTCTCTCTCTCTCTCTCTCTCTCTCTCTCTCTCTCTCTCTCTCTCTCTCTCTCTCTCTCTCTCTCTCTCGCTCTCTCGCTCTCTCGCTCTCTCGCTCTCTCTCGCTCTCTCTCGCTCTCTCTCGCTCTCTCTCGCTGCAGGTTCACCCTGCAGAGGGTCCTACCCAACAGCAGAGCCCGGCTGCAGCCTCGCTCTCGCGGTGTTGCCGATGCTCCTCGGCGTACTCACTGAGACGTCTGTGTTCATCAAACCTTGGCAGCGGCAGCCCTCCTGCTTTGGTGGCCCCAATTG